GCCACACACACACATATGCTCACACACACACTCAGCCACACGCATGCACACACTCAGCCACACACACACACACTCAGCCACACACACACACACTCAGCCACACACCTCTCCAAGTAGCAGTCCACACTCCACTTGTAAGTATAATAAAACATTTTTGGCTTAGCTCATCTTTTCCAATCATCCAAAACTAATGGATTTTTATGAAGGGAACGAGGCTGACACTAACTCCAGAGTTGGTCTACAAAAATAGTCATCCCTGCAGAACTTTCTGGTCAAGCTGATATGAAGTATGGTGAATCGGAACCATCTAGTAGAAATATATTCACTGTATTTCTCTCCCCTCAGGTGAAAAGGGAACCAGGGGTTTACATTTGGATGAAACCTTTAAATAACTAATATTTAAACTATTAAAGAAGTTAAACATGACAATCATTTGAAGAAGGTTTCCGATTCGTTTTCCCAGCTGTACCTTTGATGGGCTGTCCCCCATATGTGATGTTGAGGTTGTATGTGCCGGTCTCGTATGGGATGTACTCCACACTGCAGCTGCCATCCTTGTTATCAGTGCAGGACATTTTGGCCTCTGAAGGACCCTCCACGGCCAGACCCAGACCCCCAGTGCCTGCTCCTCTGCAAAGGGAACACGCGGACATTAGAACCAAAAGCAGGGTCACATTCCACCGTAAACTCTTCCAAATGGAGAATCTTTCTCACTCACCGGGTTTCCACGGTGAACTTGTTAGCCTTGTTGGTGATGCCGCCCTTCAGGCCTGGACCGTGCACACGCACACGGGCTGGATCACAGCCTTCAGTGACAGCAACACGGAACGGACTCTTAGGCACCGGAGAGCCATCGTAGCACACCTCCACACTGTGTGGGCCTGAGAAACACAGTCTGAGCTTTAAACTCTGCCCTGAGAAAACCAAGCACATGTGCTGCACTGTTCCTACGGTCTGAACTCACCCTCCTCGTAGGGAGTGTACTCAACGTTGTAGGTTCCATCCCCGCGGTCAGCGATCAGGGCGTCTGTGCGGCTGCCCGACGGGTTGCTGATCAGGGTCTTGATGTGATTGCCTCCGGTCTGTGTGAGAGCTCGAGCATCCACAGTGAAGTCTGTGGTCGCCTCCCGGAAAACTCCTGGAAACACGGGAGAGCATGTTGTTGGAGATTTGGTCACATCTAGGGACGCATCAACTCCATAAAAACACATCTGAGTGCTTTTCTTTTTCCAAATTAGAAATATGCACACTACTACACTATGTGGAACTTATTGGAATCATTTTTACACAGGATTATATGAGATCACTTTGACTGATTAGATGGAAGTGATGGCACAAATATTGGATTCCATAGCGACAAAAAGAGACTGTAATTCAATTTGGATTGGTCACATCTGACAACAGAAAAAACAAATTGAAAAGGTTGACCATTTTTTTTAAAGTGCATATTTATGCAAATGCATACATATAGAATATGCAAAAAAATAAATAATCTAAAATATAGTGACCAAAATTCTTTATAGGAATAATTGATATATCATATCATTAGTGTACCTTTGCCTCCCGGCCGAGACACGGACTCCACTGGCGTCCACGGCGGGCCCGGGAGCCGGGCGGGGAAGTTTGGCACGTCCTGGCCTCCGTAGCGGATGGTGAGGGTGTAGGAGCCGGGGTACAGGGGGATGTAGGTGATGGTGTAGGTCCCGTCTCCGTTGTCCTGGATGTGGACCTCCGCCTCGGTGCCGCTGTCAGAGATGATCTCGATGGTCAGCTCGGCCGGCCCCGCGTTGGTACAGTCCACCACGAACTCCCCCTTCTCCCCCACCTTGGCGCGCTCCAGGCCTGGACCAGAGCAGCGCACCTGAGAGTAAAGAGAGACGATGTATATCAGCAACAGATTACTTTTAGTTAATCATGTTTAAAATTATAATTTTATACATATAACAGAATGACTTAGATTCCTAAATTGTGTATATTAAAGTAGCATCAGTCAGAAAACCAAGTGTTTTAGAAGGTGAATAAAAATATGCTAAGAGTGTGGAGTGTATCAGAGTTGAAGCATGAGTAAGATAGTTACAGATAAAGTATGTAATGAAATATAGATATCTGAATGCAGAAAATAATTTATATCCACGTAAGAAATAGAGCGAAAGTTCATTTACATGTTGTATAATTCACATTTCCTCGTCTGGATGTGTAGTGTTTGACAGTAACTGTCTCACCTTGGAGGGGTCTGAGACGGGGTAAGCTGTGGGGTTGAAGGGAGATCCGGGGATGGGGACTCCGTCGTAGGTCAGCTCCACCTGGAGGGCTGCCTGCAACAACAAATATTAAAAGTTTAAAAACACATTAAAAGAGTGCATGCATCATGTTAGGATAAAAACGTTTCTCAAACTGTTAGACATTTATCATTTTTATATATTATTAAAAAGGCAATTTATGTGAGGAAAACATATGGTCAGCTGATATTCAGTTAAACATGTGCAGTACCTTGCTGGTCACTGGCTTCCCTAAAGGTGAGGTGACCTTGGCGGCGACCTTCCCCTGACCCCCGGCCCCCTTCGATTTCACCGTCACTTCCTGGTCTTTGCCGACAGTCATCTCTACAGAGACAAAAATTGGATTTCATGTAAGAAATGCTACAGGTGAAGAGTAACAGATGATTGTCGCATTAATAAAACCAACTGAGACCCAGAAACACCAGCTGGTGTTCTGTACAGATCTTTATATGAGACCGTGGTGAGGTATGACAGATAAGGAAGTACGCACTGTCCCCCAGGCCGGTGACGTTGATCTTGCTGAGGTCCAGTGTGGGGGCCACAGCCACGTTGAAGGGGCTCTTGGGAATGTTATCTCCGCCATAGGTCACGGCGACTCCCAGAGGACCCTGGGGCAGGAAGGGGAGGGACAGAGATGTTATCACACATGATTATGAAGCAACGGGTGGAGAGAATGATCCTCACTCGACTTAACGCATCCTAAAGAACCAGAACTGCAGACCAACAGCTGACCAAGTCAATCACAGTGCTTTATCAGAATGTGTTTCTTATTAAGTAAAGTTAAAATTTGACATTTTGGGATTCAAATAAGCCACAGTGCTGAGCAGAGTACAAACAAACACTGAAAAATACTTTTTAAAAAAAGGTAAAAACATGAAAATGTTACCAATAACTTTCATTAAGTGAAAACACTGTGAAAGGGTTGAAGTGGTAAGACAAAAAATATCTACTACTCAAAGATTGACAATATTGGGGTAGCAACCTGTCAATCACAAGGTAACCCCGTCCTTATACCCTGCCTTAACGTGTATTTTAATCTAAATGGAACCTTAATCTACCAAATTAACATATGTTAAAAAACTGCATGTGCATGTTAGTATGCGAGTGCTTCTCTCATGGTACCTGCTGCACAGGTGTGTATTTGACGGTGTGTGTGTTGTCGTGGTTGTTGATGATCTCAAAGTCCTTCACAGCCTCTCCTTTGGTCGGCCCGCTGAAGCTGCAGTCCAGGTTAGCCTTCCCCGCTGCTTTGGTGCTCACAGTGAAGTGGGTGGGCTTGTTCAGCTCCACACCTGAGAGACAGAGAACCAGTCAGTGAGTCCGACTAATCCAAGAGGTCACTCCAGCAGTTCATAAAAACGTTGTATCAGTTCCTGCCAATTCATTCAGAAAAACCTCGTAAAAACGTAACTCAATTTACTCAAGTACTGTACTTAAGTACTTTAATGACAAACTTGTACTTGTATTTTATGCTACATGTACTTCTGCTCCACTACATTTTGAAAGGCAAATATTGCACTTTTGACTAATACATTTATACAACACTCATAGTTACTCTTTACATATAAAACACATGGTAAATAAATAAAGTTGGAGTCGTGTACTAAAAATACTCAAGTATTTTAAAGATTAAATGGTTAGTAAATTGGCCCCACATAAAAAAAACTATACAATAAACCGAAAAGGCCATATAACATCAATTCAGTACTTTAAGACCATAGTATTTGTACTTTTAGAAAATAAAAATCTGATTACTTCTTCCACCCCTGGTCACATGTGGGAATAAGCTCTGAGCAGCACTATAGTGAAACAAAAACTGTAAAGAGAAAGCTAAAGATTTAAATATGGAGATGGAATATTTCCCACTGAATAAATACTGTTCTCTTTCTCACCGCTGCGGCTGAGTCCGGGGCCCTCTGCCTTCACTTTGCTGGCATCATGAGAAGGGTCCACTTTGATCCTGATGGGCGTCATGGGGATAGCCTGAACACCAAACACAAGCAGTCAGACACATTTGATCAAACCCAGTGAATCCTGGGCCGTCCACCTGCTGCTGTCCCTCCTGCTGCACTCAGACTCACCTGGTCTGCGAACAGCACCATGATCGTGTAGCTGCCCGCACCAGGGGGGGTGTACTTCACAGTGAACGTGTCGTTGTCGTTCCTGATGATGTCAAAGTCGATGTCGGCCTCTGCTGGCCCCACCACTCCAGGGGCACACTTGATGCCTATGCTGATATCCCCTGAGGGCCGGAGACAAACGTCTTCATTACTTCATGATTGAGAAACTAAAATAAACACACTAAAATGAAAAATAAATACGCTTAGGGGCAGTATAACCAGTTAACTATCGACAAAGTTTAAATGTTCTTTTTCCTCTGTTTTGTTCTCCACCACCTCCAGAGTGATATTTCTGGCTTTTTAGCTGCTAAATTCTTCCATGTCTATAGGCCAATTGGTGCTGAGCTGGTGATGTAAAGTGGGTTTACAAAGCAGTTCAACTTCCTGGAACAATGACGGCTAAAATTGCAACCGGAAAAACCAAAACAATGTGCTGAGGGACGCTTAATTGTTCTGGGAAACCGAAAAGAAAGCAGAGCTGTGCAATAGTGTTTTGTGGTTTGAAACTACGACATAAGCAGCAATTTGATCCATTGTGGATAAACCAATGTTGATTATTGCAGTTTCAAACACACTGCAGGTCTCTCATTAGTTTATAAAACGCCAACAAGCAGTGTTAGAAAATACTTATCCGTGAGTAATGTGTGCAACAGTTATATGTCTCTACCTTGTCCGGCCTCTGCACAGTCCACAGTGAAGTACGTCGGCTCGAAGGCCTTCAGGCCGGTCTTGGCCACCCCCGGGCCCGACACCTTCACCTTGTTAGGGTGACATCCTGCTCCAATATTCATCTGCAATCAAAAACACTTTTCTGTAATAATGTCCTTTGTATAAACCCTCTAAACGTTTGTGTGTGTGTACTCACCCTGAAGGGACTCTCTGGGATGTTGACCCCTCCCCAGGAGATCATTGCAGTGTGTTTGACGGGTTTACGTGGTGTGTAACTACAGGCATATGTGCCGTTGGCATTATCCTTAACCTGTACATCCACAGGAGTTCCCTCAACATCCTGAGCACAAGTGGACACAGAACAAAGAGGTGTGTGAGTATACTGAGGAGCAGAACACACACATGCAGCACATTTCTGCTGGAACACACACACAGCCCTACCTGAGCCACAATCTTCAGAGGAGCTTTTCCTCCCTGCTTAGCGTCCACTGTGAACTCAGTGGGCTTCCCAACAGCCAGACCACTGCTCTGGAGACCTGGACCCTGAGCCTTGACCTGGAACACACATCCATGGAGCTTAAGGAATACAGCTCTACATTGGGCTATAGCTACAACGCTGCAGGAATACATGTCAAAGGCTGCAAAGCTGTATAAGGACCAGTGTAGGTTAAAAATAATATGAATTACGCAATGTGGATAATATACAGTATATATATATATATAGATAATATAACACTAGACAAACCACACAGTTACAACAAATACAACTCATCAAAATGGTGTTATCTATGTCAAGGAACCACATCGTTTAATTTTGCAAGGTTGGGTGGCTGGCAGTCCAGCCAGCAGTCACTTGCATCTCGGTGGTTAAATCAGCCGAGGCTAAATATCTACTGCACCATACAGACTGACTATATAATGACATGCATTGTAAACATATTAAGACCCCATATCCAGCTACAATAGATGATAGGGAAAAATGTCTTTATTCTAAAAATGTTGGGTGCTGGAAAAAAAACAGAATCGAACAAATAAAAAATAATCGAATAAATAATTCCGTACCATGATTTTCATGTTTTCTACATTAATTTGTAGATGGAAAATGTGTTTTATAGCACCTCAAGTATTTAGATCCTCAGAGATTCGGAATTTTGTCACAAATATATGACTTAATCATCACAGGGAATATCCGAGTCTCCTCCTTGTAAATTTACAACTTTGTTTTATAAAAAATAAATATAAGCCCTCCCTCAGCTTTGTACTTTTTGACACAATATACAAGATGGAAAGTGAACACTGATTGCCGGTGTGTATGTGTTTTGCTGCAGCAAAGTGTGTATACCTTGTCGGGGTAGAAGTCTTTGTTTGGTGCGTTGACGATCTCGGCCATGAAGGGAGAGTGCTGGATGTCTTCGTTGTTGCAGAGCACGTGCACGGCGTACTCTCCAGACTCTGTGGGCCAGTAGCGCACGTCACATGACCCATCGCCCTTATCGTCACATTCTATCTTGGCCTGAGAGGGGCCTTCCACAGAGAAACCTGAACGGGGAGAGACAAACACACCGCGAGCTTAGAAGGGCTGCGAGCGCAGAACTGAGGGGAAAATGTGGATACTAAAATGTTCAGGATTCTTTCCCCGTGTGTTACTCACCCAGTGTGCCAACATTGTCTCCAACAGCCTCCACCACAAAGTCAGCTGATTTGCCGACTATACCGTGCTCCAGCCCGCCCCAGGCCCTCACCCTCCTTCACCTCGATGGGACTAAAGGGAGCAGAGGGCGATCAGTCAGAGGACAGGGACAGCGGTTCAGTAGCAGAGTTTGTTTCAGTGTGAGTGTGTGTACCTGCGGGGGATGTGCTGCCCTCCCCAGGTGATGGTGATGGAGTATGTCCCCGGGGTGGTGGGGTAATAGTCAAAACCATACACACCGTCTCCAAGATCTTTTCTTTTGCACGGCTCCTCAAGACCCTCTGTGAACAAGGTCCTGCACTTTAGTATTTTTTTTTTACATCTAACCAATTTGTCTTAACTGACAGATTTAAGGCCAAGGTGAAGTTAATGGCAATGTATTCTTTCTTGTTTTGCATCATGGATATATGATAAAAGAGCCGATGTAGAAATCTAGAGACTTTTTGAGCAGATGATCTTCTCTCCCTAGAAGAGAGTCGACAAGGAGTTGATGGATACTTGAAAACTAATGATGAAAACAGTTCATCATAAAGCTAGTAAGAGTTTGTAAGGATTAGTTCGACAGCATTTTCAAACATTTTATTTCTTAAGGACACATATGGACTAACTTCGGTTGAGCAATACATTGTTGTTTTTTATCGCAATGTCATCTTGTGCAATAAAACCTTTACTGACTGCAATATGGTAAATAGTATTATTCCCTCAAAGTATTTACTGTACTGGAAACTGTTTCCTGTCTATTGGTTGTTTTTACAGGTTAATCAATGATTCAAATGTCATTTACAATCTACATCAGAACCAGTATCGATAAAGAGTTGATCAAACCATTTCCAATGTAAAGAACTAGGTGGTGTCGTTGTAGTGTTTGCGCTGGACTCACTGGGCCCCTTGATGGAGACTTTGAGCTCTCCGGTGCCGGCCCCCTTGGTGAACACCTGGAAGTCTGCGGTCTCCTTCACCCTCAGGCCTTTGGGCTGCAGACCCCGACCCTTGGCTTTGCAGAGGCTGGGGTTGCAAGCTGTGGAGAGACACAAAGAGTGAGAGAGGAAGAGATGTATTCTGCCTCCAACAGTATGACTGTGTCAGTGGTGCTTTCAGGGGAGACGGGGAAAGAGGTGCGAGGTGAAAGATGAATATTACATTCATCGTTTTTGAAAGACTGCTGGAGCGCTTTCAGTATTCTCCTCGTATCCATCCATCTTATCTCACAGAGGGAAGTCTTAGAGCAGTGTAAAGGAAATGACTCTTTATCCTCACACAGGAAGTGGAGTATCCTACATATCTCCTGCCAGCACTTTGCTCAGTCAGTGGGGACTTAGAAACCAGAGAATCGACCCATCAAGTCTTTAAACTACGGAGGGTAGAGTGGTGCTTCCAGAGGGGCCAGTTTAGTTTGATAGTGAATGTGTGTTTGAATTTTGCACGCCTTCAAAAAGGACAGTCAAGTTTAAGACGAAGACGATCACTGGTTATTTTTATTCTGTAACTGTGGTTCCCATTGTATATGAGGAGCCAGTTAGGTGCCTCTTAAAGACTAATAGCGGCCCACTGCTCCTAATACTAGGATGGGATAAATGCAGGGTCTAAGTTAACGCTGTGTGTGTGGTGATGTGTGACTAAACGATATTCCATTCTAATCCTCCATTTCCTTTTAAAGATCGTACAAATAGGATCTGTTGGGTCAAGGGCTGATGCCCTGCAGGAAGCAGAGGAAACCCTGCAGCAACAGAGGCTATTAAAAGGGGCTCAAGATATTTTACAGGAAGTGGACTACTTAAGGACACCAGAGGAAGAATACAGTTATATTTTATTATATTAAAATCCTTTTTTGATGTCTTCAGGGGATGTGTGCAGGTGTGGTATAAATGTGTGAACCACTTAACAGAAGTTAATAATCCAATAACAGAGAAACATTTGTATGTTAGAAGGTTCATCCACCAGGTTAAAGGAATACTATTTTAGTGAGTGCCATGGGGAGACAATATGTTTTCTGAGTGCAGTGAGAAAGTTGCTTTTGGAAGGTTAAACGCCAACACAAATGGATGGAAGCAGAGCATTTAGTAAGATAAAAACATGTTGTTAAACTTAAGACTTCAAGTGAGAATACAAACTGCAGCGTAATAATTGTACACTTTGATCCAACCAGGGATATATATATTGAACCAATAGTCAATAGGAAATATATTGCAATAACAATATGAAAGCTATTTGATCTACTGATGATTACGTTATTTTGAGGTTAGATGATCGTCAGATGACTTTTACGCTGACACATATATAAAGCAGTGAAATATCTACATGGGCGCGCACACACAGCTCAGCCACACACACACATATGCTCACACACACACTCAGCCACACACACCAGCACACACACACACACACACACACACACACACACACACACACACACACACACACACACACACACAACACACACACACACACACACACACACACACACACACACACACACACACACACACACACACACACACACACACACACACACACACACAAAGAGATATCCCAGGAAACAGGAAATGATAGCAGAAGGAAGAGCCTGCTCCAGAGAGAGGACAGATACCAGCAGGCCTCTATCAGAGAGAAGAGAGGAGGAGGAAGAGGGAGGACGTCCAGTAGAGCAGCAGGAAACCACAGGACAGCATTAGATACAACTGAAGAGAAAACAGCAGGATAAGCAGATATATACGAGGTATCAAATATATTTGTGCCTTTTAGATCCAAGTAGACTTTGTTATAGCCGAGAGTCAGAGTGGTGCAGGAATGAGTCCTAAAAGTTTATGAGTAAGCATTTTGCCAATTCCTGTTCTGCCGTCTCAAAGTAAAAAAAAAGTTCTAAGGTTATTTGCTTTAAATTAGATCTGTAGGTAACAAAAGCTGTTTCAAACAAGTGATTAAATAAAACTACTTAATGTCATAACGTCAAATATTAGCCGCGGTAAGCTTAGCGGTGCTGATAGCTTTCACTTCTGCCGATTGCATTCACGATTCATAAATCATAAAGTGATTGTGATAAATTGAGGTATCCTGTTGAACAACACGTGTAAGTATCATAACGTGTGTTTGCCACAGATGATATTTTCTGAAATAATCCGCTATTCAATAAATAAATCCTATTGGCTTTAGTCAAGTGAGCCCTTGGGAAGCTAACTTACGAAAAGCGTCACTGCACCACTCTATAGAGGCTTCCATCAATGTAATGTGGATGTACAGGGGAAACATTAACGTACAGAATGCTTCAGCAACATCTGATGCCATTTTTCTCAGGGATGGTGATGTGGAATAATTGCTGCTTATAAATCAATAGAAGTCCTACCCTCGCCCACGGTGACCATGAAGGGGCTCTTGCTGATCTGGCCCCCAGCGAAGGTGACGTAGAGGGTGTGCTGCCCCTCCTGGATGGGCTTGTAGGTGCAGCGGTAGCTACTGTTGCCCTTGTCCTCGATGGTGCAGGGCACGATGCTCTTCTTGCCGGCAGGGTCAATGATCATCACCTCCACCTCGCCAACACCAGCGCCTGAGGACAGAGCGGATAGAGGTCAAGGAAATTGTGTAATTATAAAAATTAGACGCACAAGGGGTCGCTCAATCAAAATGATAATGAGGACTTTTACTAAATAACTACTCCATTAAGGGTTTGGCTGCATCCATTGCTGTCTCTGAAGTCATCTTCTCCCAGTTAGGATACCTTCACTGATCATGGTTCGGGAGATTTTTGTAGCCAGAGCCTCTCCAAAACAAATGTATTAAACACTGAATTAAGCGGTTCCATGTTAAAAATTGCTAAGTAGATATAGAGTGGAGGGGCAGCCTGCTAAACGCTAACATTAGCGAATCCTGTTTCTCTGATAAATGAAGATCCAAAAACATACAAAGCATAATAAACCGTAAAACATAGAGTTAAAAACAACGAAGATCCAAACATTTGACTTCTTTATTGTAAAAGTGTGGCTCTATATTGGATAGTCAATTAATGACTGCCTCTGGCACACAATCAAACACTGACACATGTCGAAACGTGTTTAAAGGAGATACAACGCCATAAAAGGAGACGCACCATCACTTTAAATATTTATTTTATATGTATACATTATCCAAGTTTAAAATGTTAACTTTCTGACATTTGAATGCAGAATTGTGACATGTTATACATTTTTGCAAGAAAAAAAATTGCAGTTACATTTTTTGAAACTTGAGGAAAGCAAAAAGTCCAAACCTCTCTCGCATCGTCCATGTTTTCATTTACCTGCAGTGTAGACATCAAAGTAAGTGCTCTTGTTGGCAATGTTTCCTAATGGCTCGATGCCTGCCCCCTGGGCTGTGGCCTTGCTGGAGTCTCCCTGAGCCATGCCGATCTCCACCTCGAAGGGGCTCTTAGAGATGTGCTGCCCTGCAAACAGCACCGTCACCTAGAGAGAGAGAGAGAGAGAGAGAGAGAGAGAGAGTTAACAGAATGCTAAGGTAACCATAACAGGGCCTCAGCAGGTTTGTCAATATCTTAAAAATCATTGGATTACATTTTTTTATTTTTTTTATAAATAACTCACCTTGTGCATGCCTGTGACTTTAGGGATGTAGACGACAGAGTAGGTGCGGTTCTTATCATTGTTTCCTGTCACCTTAGCCTGGAAGAAATTGTAAAAATGTTAAAACTAGTATGCCAAGATGATTCAAAAGCATCTCCCAAAAAAAACCCTGGTTCTCACCTCCTCTCTGTGTCCTGCAGGGTCCTCCATGTACACCAGCACCTCCCCCATCCCCGCACTGATGGTCTCCACGGTAAACAGAGCCTTCTTCATCACAACGTTACCAACGGGCTCCACGCCTGTCCAGAGGGGAGGGGGATACATAACAGCATGTGTTTGCACATTATAACAATGTACAGTAAATGGATGACAGTGTCTCCCACAGATCTGGGGCCGTATTCACAAAGCATTTTATCTTACCGCTAGGAGTGCTCCTAACTCGCGCTAAAACATTTTACGTAGGAGTTTTTTCTTAAAAGTTATTCACAAAGCCGCTGAGACCTACTCATACTAAGGATAAATCACTAAGAGTGAACTAAGAGTGACGCGCCGTTGCTATGGATTACGTCGATTCTCGTGCATGAGTTTAGAAGCGGTCAGTACGGTGATTGGTTGTTCAGAGCAGGCGGTCTCGGTGAAACTCATCCACAACATCCCACAAACGAGCCCACTAAATCACCGAAAAACAAGGAAATAGCCTAGGCTAGAAATGTATTCCTATCAAATAGTTATGGACAGTGCAGTTAGCAGAATACACGCATGATGACAAGTTTGTGCAGACCACGATAATGACGTTGTATATGCACGTTAAAGAGAGAGAGCAAACAATAAAAATATGTAAATTGCATTAAATCAAGGGGGCAATTAAAAGCACCCTGCAAACTATTATCCAATGAGCATATTTCCAGCACTTAAACACTTTCAATAACAGCCCATACCGCCGTTCAAGTCCCCCTATCATGATGAATGAAA